GGGAAAGTGACACCGCACAGTCTTGACATTGTATTTTACCAGAGTTATCTAAACAGAGTTGTGCATTTGCTGAAAGCCTGTTGTGTAAAGAGTTAACGGTCAAAGCCCCCTTTGGGGGAAAGTAAAAATTGATAGTAAGCTAGAATTATGAGGATGGACATACTATTAAAATTTATCTGTTCTTTAGGATCATAATCACACTGTTCCTGATTTCATTCCCTTTACACCAGTGTTTATTCCACCCACACTGTTAGTGTGACAGGAAGAAATAAACCACAGACGTTTTCTGGAACAACTGACTTTGAAGTTCAGCATTCCCTTAGCTCTGAAAGGCTTCAGACTCTGGTGGGAAATAAACTCACAGATCAGACTTAACTTCCTTGAGTAAAGTAAAGGCACAGATAGTAACTTTTCAATGCTGTTTTGGTAGAATTAAGACTAACCTCTGAATCCTTTACTTCTAAGAATCCCTGTAGCTTCTAAGTAATATAGCTCAGGGCCTTTCAAGGTTTCCCCCTCACCCACACCCTCTTCTCTTGAGTCTTTTTGAAGCTCACAAAAATGTTTTCTGAACTCACAGTATTTGAGCTGTTTTCTGAACAAAGATATTTTCTGAATGCACAGTATTTGATAAACATGTACCCGTATGAGGTTTTTTGTTGTCGTCCCCCCCCCCACTATTGTCACACATTATTTTAACTTCAGAGTCATACCTCTGGAATGAAAACTATGTAACTCGTTTCATAAGCTGAACCAGTCATCTCTATTCTTTATCGTTGATTCTCCAGATATATTTTAACTCCTTAAAAAATGAAGGCCCCTTCTTTACAATGAACTCATAAACCTTATTCAACGCAAATGACATTTGTAATTAACCTATTTTGCTAAAGTTTGCTGATTAAGTATTGAATGAGCTATAGGAAAGTGGTCTTGAGTAAATTAATAGAACCTTTATAACCTTAACAAACTTGTGTAAAGCATTTGTAAATTCAGCAGTACATGAATAAAAAAGAGTGAATGGAAATACACCAAGTTCAAATATCCATATTGCTTTACAACCAGAAGGCATTTTCAAAAGGTACCTGGAGGTCTTCCCCCTATTAAGTCGTGTTAATCATTTGCCCTTTGATTTGCCTGTTTCTTTGTTCTTAAAATAACTAGCATTCCTGCATCATAGGACGGGTGTAAACAAAACTATTTTAGAAAACATGCTTTGCCTTGCAGTCGTGATATGCTTAAAAATACTAAAGAGATATGAATGTTAAGTATGTACTACCCATGTGATCTCAGCCACTTTCTACAAGTGCTTTCGGTGTGTCAAAGGTCAGGGAATGGTATGTGTATACTTCTTACATTTAAAAACTGATTTAAATGTTGTTAGCTGCCATCCAGTCGATTTCGATTCATGGTGACTCTCTTGTGTGGCGTACAACTGTTGCATAGAATTGCCACGTACCTAACCTTGGGAAACCGGGCCTATCTTCTCCCATGGGTGGGTTTGAACTGCCAACTTAACTGTTTGTGCCCATCAGGAATTTCTACTTTTAGAGCAGAGGGAGGACAGAATACAGCTCTGTACTGTGTCCAGAGGAATGGACTGTGCTGTTGTTGTTCGGTTCTATTGAATTGGCTCTGACTCACAGAGAACCTGTGTGCAACGGAACAGAACAGTGCCCGGGCCTGTTCAGACCACTAGTCGATGGTCTGTTTGATCCCACTGTTACAGATACTATGTCAGTCCACCTTGTGGAAGGTCCTCTTTTTTGGTGACCCTCCTCTGCTTTAAGAATCATGATGTCCTCCAGAGACTGGTCCCTCTTGATAATATGTCAAAAGTACATACGATTGAAGCATCACCGTCCTCTCTTTTTTTTAAACCATTTTCATGGGGGCTCTTACAGCTCTTATCATAATCCTACATCCATCCATTGTGTTAAGCACATTTGTACACGTTACCGTCATCATTTTCAAAACATTTTCTTTCTACTTGAGCCCTTGATATCAGCTCCTCATTCTCTCCCTCCTCCACAATCCCTCCATCATGAACCCTTGATAATTAAATTTTTTTTCCCATTTCTTTCACCTCCCGCTGTCTCCCTGCACCCATTTTTCTGTTGTCCATCCCCCTTGGAGGGGGTTATATGTCAGTCAGTCATGATCAGTTCTCCCTTCTCCCCCCACCTTCCCCTTCCCCTTCCCTCGTGGTCTCACTACTCTCATTATTGGTACTGAGGGGCTTATCTGTCCTGGATTCCCTGTGTTTCCAGCTCTTACCTGTTCCAGTGTACATCCTCTGGTCTTGCCAGATTTGTAAGGTAGATTGGGGTCATGATGGTGGCGGGGGGAGGAAGCATTAAAGGACTAGAGGAAAGTTGTGTTTCCTCGGTGCTACACCACACCCTGGCTCCTCTCTTCTTTGTGACCCTTCTGTGAGGGGCATCATCTTCTCTTTTAAGGGACATTCTGGGATACTGCCCCTTGAAAGATGTTACACAATGAAAATTATAGATAACTTCATGAAGGCAGCCACCTAACCAGTGATTAAAGGAAACTAGAAACATTGGAGGGAATATGTATATAATGTTGAGGCTGTATAAGGCATAGCTTCCCAATAACACATTCGAGTGCACAAAGATTGTACTCCAGAATTAGGCTGAAATTTGTGACTACCCTTTGTGGAATTTGATACTAAAATCTGAAAACGGGTTTAGCTAAAAATAGGAAATTTTTAAAGTAGATAGACTTTTGCTAATTATTTCCACAATCAAAATTAATCTTGGTGATGTATAACCTAAGTCTATTGAAAAACAACCTTTTAAAACCATTGTGTTAAAAGGGTCACTTTGTAATGTTGTGATCTAGGTGGTGGTTCATTCTTTGCAGTCCACAGGCTTATTTTTAGAGCAAGGGCATAGTGTTTTGCTTCATCATAGCTAAATGCTGTTTTCAGAACGTAAGCTTTAAAATGGTTATCCCGGTCATAGTGAAATCAGGAGTGCCAATTTTAGACCTGCTCAGAAGACTATATTCTAGGACAGTGGTCCGTCCACACTTGCTGGGTGGAGGCTTACAGACTGTCATCTCCGCCTCACTTCTGCAGGATGGTACGGTAACGTTTTATTATCTGAGGGCTAGGGGGATTAAACATCACATTTTTATAGTCTTAGACATGGAGGGTAGAAAGAAAAATTGCCTTTTCATTTTAGATACTCTTTAGACATTGTTTTTAGCCTAAGTTTTGTAGGGATAAATTGATTATTAGAGGACAAAAGTAGTTTTCACACTTATTAAGTCACTTTCTAGACAAAGGTTTTTGGCTTGTTTTTAATTAAATTGCTCCAAACTCGTGCTTTTATTTCTATTTAGGGAACTTAGTCACTTCAAGTTGATTGAGATGAGAGAAATTGGTTTGAATAGAGTAGAAATAGCTGTAAAAACTTAGAGATGAACTTGAGTTTTCTGTATTTTTCAGTTAGCCTTTCAGCAATGTGTGTGTTGCTGAATATATATATATGTATATATATATATAGAGAGAGAGAGAGAGGAGAGAGAGAGAGAGAAGTGAGGGTGCAACAAGAAATGTTCGGTGGAAACTGGAAGAGCGAAATTTGACATTACAGATTTGAAGCCGAAGACCAGCTCCACCTGGCAGTCCACCCTCCCATTCCTCCCCCTTACTTACTGTCCACCGTAGAATGGGGCAGAGAGCACAGGCCAGGCGAGCACTGCAGAGGGCTGGACCCATCAAAGATGTGAATTCCTATTTCTCAACACCTGTAATGCTGAGACATAAAAGGAGCACGGCTACCCTGAGTAGCTACATTTTGTGTCTAGTTCCATTATAGCTATGAAGCCAGTCCACTGTTATTAGACTATGCGCCTTCCTGGGAATATATAATTTTTTTGATATGCTGTGAAATTTGGATTAATGTGGGCTCTGGTTTAGAATTTGAAGTTAGTGATAGATTGTTTAGAAAACGTCACACAACTAGCTGAAGTGGGTGAACTCAGGGTGTGTGTCTGGTTTTTCTCTTCAGTTTCCATTAGTTGAGAGAAATGTTTAGCAAGTGATACTGCCATGCTGAATAGCTTAAGTCAGGGTTCCTCAAACTTTTTAAACAGGGGGCCAGTTCACTGTCTCTCAGACCCATTGGGGGGCCAGACTATAGTTTTAAAAAAACTAAGAACAAATTCCTATGCACACAGCACATATCTAATTTTGAAGTAAAAAAGGGGGGAGGCAAAAACACCCGGCTGGCCGGATAAGTGTCCTCGGTGGGCTGCATATGGCCCATGGGCCATAGTTTGAGGACCCCTGGTTTAAGTCTCAGACAAATTAGAAAGGTTGAGTCTGTTTCCTTTGGTTGGCTATTATTTGATTCAAACTTAAGTGATCTTTAATGTTGGCTTTATTTTTCTTGTATTTTATTTCCCAATTAGGACTTAACCGTCACCATGTCGAGCAAAAGGGCAAAGACCAAGACCACCAAGAAGCGCCCTCAGCGCGCAACATCCAATGTGTTTGCCATGTTTGACCAGTCACAGATTCAGGAGTTCAAAGAGG